ATAGCAATATTTCATTAGTAAATGAGATTGATATGGTGTTTTAAAATGGCAATATATCAGCATATGAAGATATTTTAATGTATCAATATTTTTCCCTCGTCTTTAGAAGTTTTTAAGTCTGTAAAAAAGAAGTTTTTGAGGAAGAAGAAGAAGTAGTATTTTATTATTTTTTTTAGACTTTAGAAACTCAGAAGCTGATCAAATATCGGGTTAAATATCGGAGGGGTGGCCAATGTCCGATATTCAGTTTTAAGGCCGATACAGGCCGATACCGATAGGGGGCCGATTATATCGTGCATCCCTAATTGAGTCCATTCCTTCACCCTATCATGGCAACCCCCACCCCCATACAGGGTAACAGAAGATCTCGCCTGTTCAGCCAGGCCAGCAATTCCCCCTAATGACCCTCCTTTCAGAGACATAGACGGGTATCGGGTAATCCAGGCTAACAGAGAACCCAAACGACTGCCCATTCCTAAGGGGTGGACCTTTTCTTCCAATTCAATTTGTGTGTTTTCTAAGACAAAACAAGGTTTTGTTTTTGGTCCACTCTATAAAACCTTAACCTCAGCACTATTTATGACATTTTGAATTGAAAAAAGCTTCCTGGTTGGGAATGTCTTCAAACTTTTTTTGGAAAGTCATTCTATTGCTTTTTTTTTTTAAAGCCACTGACAAACTCCTTAAGAGCATTCCCAACTTCATCCTTTGTCAAAATTGGTTTCTCTATCATCCATTTTGATTAAAAAAGGTAGTCTCCTCTGCCTCATTCACAAAACAGTTGTCAATTCATGATACTTTCTCAACTCCTAATTTTTATAATCAATAATACAATGTCAATATACCTAAGACAAAAGTAATGTCATGACCTGACCTTAATAGCTGGCCTTAATTGTTTATGTCATTCACCTGCTTAACTCTGCCTGGCTCCTAATTATCACTCATCTCATCCACCTGCTGGTTCTGCTTTATATTCAGCTCAGCCCAGCTTTCGGAGGCAGATCATTGTATGTTTTGTTACTTTAAGTAGTTCCAAGGTTTATGTCCTGGTTCCTCGCGGCTAGTGGATGGAGAGGGTTTTAGTGTTTGTCCTGTCTTCTGATCGTGTCCTGGTCCTTCTCTGCAGAGCCCTTGGCTTGGAACGTGGGGATGGTCAGTTTTATTCCTGTGTCATTGGCAGCTGGATAGCAGGTCTTTAAAAGGAGATGGACCAAACTGTTGAACCAGGCAAGTGACTCACTCGTATTATCTCCTGTCAGATGATCATGGACACTAAAGCATGGCGTACACTGTGTGATTTACAGGACGATTTTCCAGTCATGCGAGAATCTTTCGATCAGGCCAACTTTCAGCCTTATCGTGAGTTGTGTAGTGTACAGGGGGTTACGAGGGGCGATCAGCCTCCCACGACCACCTCCTGATCAGGAATCAACATGTTTGATATTCTCCCAACCCAAATCGCTCAGTGCTCATGCGCAAACCAGGATTCTTCTTTTAATTCCTTCTCTCAGATGTAAACATAGCAGCATGGCAGGGATTCAATGAGTGAAATGCAGCTCTGTCTGCAAAATTGACGCACTGCAGCAGCCACACCTGCTCAGCCACATCTTTTTTCCAAATACGTCATCGCCCTTTCTTTCTAGGACCCTCAGCACAAAGTTGCTCAAATTGCCAAGGCAGCACGTTTCACTATAGTGAGCTTAATATCCTCCTTCTATTTGTTTGGCTTCAGGATAGAGAGCTACAGAGCAGCTCCATCTCACTGCAGAGCTGAGTCCGACGTGCTTTTTAGTCGCACAGGTAGATTGCATCAGAGCGTCGGGCCGAACATAAATCGTGAACTGCTGCTCACATTGTATGACTAAACCCTGCGGTTAGTCGTACAGTGTGAGCAGCAGATGCGTGCAACGACTGAAAAAAAATCGCACAGTGTACGCCGGGCTTTACCTGTGTTTCTCCCTCCAGAGAGTCAGTGATGGGTTGCGCCCCGCCCCCCTGCAGCCGCTGTGGTCCGCCGCTCCCCAGTTCCACACTTGTTTTCTGTTCTATTTCAGTTCGTTTATTTTAATGTTTTGTTCTTTCCTACTGACTGTCTCACATTGAATACTGGTTCCATCTGTCCTGTTCGACAGTTTTGATTATAATATGGATTATAACATAATATAATAAGTTTCAATATCCATATACACACACACCAAATAATAGTGTGTTTCAGTCAGAGGCTTATTTAGATCTGCTGTAAGACTTCTAGAAGAATGTTTTCCCTAGAAGTATTAACATCTACATAAATAACCCTCGTAATACACATAAAATTTGTCTTCCGGGATTACTAAAATATTAATTGAATCATATACTTGTCTTTTGAGCTGAGTTTTAGTTTCCATAGTTCTGCATAACCTTTTATCCCATGACCAGGTGCCTCCTGCTAAATCAATGACTGTGTAAGCATACTGTTAATTTCATTGACTTGGTAACATTAACCTGAATAATTCCATGCTTTCAGATGGTAAAATATTGAGGGCTCAGCGACTACTGTATGGATGCAAGTGAAAGCCACTGTATTTATAGCAGAAAGAAAAATATGGCCATGTTCTTGTTTTTTTTAATTTTTATTATTTCATGTAACATTCTTTCACATCCTCCTTTTTTGAAATGATCAGTTCAAATGAGAATAAAATCATCCTCTATTCACACCCATATGCACACATGCTTCATGATTACACTCTTCGCCCACTTGACAAATGTGCAGCACACAGCGACACAGCTGTGCTGCATTTATGATTACCTCTATGTGCAAAGATAATGACTACATACTCAGAAATACGGCCTTTTCGATGTTGTCCCCTTCATCTAGAAATTAATATACCAGCTGCGAAAAAAAGGAACATAGATACAGGCCACTAGGTCAAACCAGTGGTTTATTTTATTTCTAACGGGTTTCAGTTTGTTGCTGCTTAATTTTGATGGAGATTGCATGCTAGATTGCATAGTTACTTTCTTTACATATCAAAAATTATTATATTCTAGACAGAATGAATAAGGTAAACAGACTAGTTCCATCTAAGTGTAACAACATTCAGAAAGTCTCTGCCTCTTAGAGAAGCCATGAGAGCAATAAAACCACACGACTAAAATGCAATTGCCAAACTCATCTTTCTCTTGAAAGATGAGAACTAGAGGGGAAAAAACAGACATACACAGGTCTTTGAATTTCTACATCTATTATTTAAGACACGGATGACATTTGACGGTAAATATGTTTGTCAGCTGTTATCTCTTTGCAAGGCATTACCGCATAAGTGTAAAACCTCGTTACACACTAACAATTTCAGCTTTTTGTGACCTAAGATAATAAAATGAAGAGGAGATATTTTGAAATGTGTTCCACCTTTGATTTTGATTCAATTTTAATTTGAACTTTTTCATTTCAACTTAAAATTATAAAATGTACCTGGGAAAACATATAAAACATTAAATAAAATAATCTCTAAGAATACATTCTTTGCCCTAACTTACTAAGGCTTGATGAAGCCACACGTGCAAAAAAAAGGGGTTGCACAGATCAATTTGCTCTTTCTTTGAATAATCTCATGTGTGCACAAGTTTTAAGATGTGCAAACCTTCTGAATATCAGGCCCTACATGTGGAAAATTGGACCAAATGGTGGATTAAATAGAAGATAGAATTTTAAAGGTCTGTGCACACTTATGCAACTGGTTCTAGTGCAATTCATTCATTCTCTTATAAATCCCTCTTTTCAAGTTTGTGTTTGTCAGCTGAATTGTACAAGTTCATATATCACATTAAAAGTGGAAATATTTAAGTCCATTTGGGCAAACATACTGTATATACATACAAATAAATTATACAGAATACAAACAATTACAGTTAATTTTTTATATCAAATCACCAACGTGATGCTTTCCCCTTCTATGTGAAGTCAGTTTATGCTCCTCTGTTCCAGTCTGTTCTCTCTTTCCCCAGCACAGTTTCAGTTGATCTTTCACTCCATTACTGACCAAAACATACAGAACTGGATCCACCAAGCTGTTCAGACTGGACAGAGCCAGTGTGCATGAAAAGGTGAAATGTGCGTCACTTTCGAACATGCAGTAAGGTCCCCCTGATTTTGTGTCATTGTAGTTGAAGAAGACAAGTGCGCGTACAAAGAGGAGGATGTGATAAGGAGCAAAACAAAACGAGAAGATACCTATCACACCAAAGGACAGCTGGCGAACCTTTCTCTTGCTTTGAGCATTCAGGCCAGGACTCTTTCCCACCATGGCAAGAATCCTCCAGTAGCTCACTGTCAACACCACCAGTGGCAGCATGAAGCCCAATCCCACTCTGATCAAATTAAACACGGCAACAGAATGCTCCATTGGGTAAGTCTCATAACATCGGTCCTCATTGTTTCTGTCATCATGGGCATCTTTTGCATTGTCATAATACAGAATCAATATGTGCAAAACCGCAACTACAATATAAACTGTGGCACACTGGATCCATGCATATCGAGATGTACGGTGGCGTCTGAAGCGGAGTGGGTAAGAGACCACCAGGCAGCGGTCCACAGAGATGCAACACAGTAAATAGATGCTGATGTACATGTTTGAGTAGTAAAAGAACCCTGCTACACTGCATGATACCACACCTAGTTCCCAATGATGGTCTTTGTAGTAATAATTTATCCAAAGGGGCATGGTGAAGATGAAAAGCAAGTCAGATATAGATAGGTTGAGCAGGAAAATTCCTAAAACGTTCTGCTGCTTTACTTGCATCCATATAGGATACAAAGTCAGCAAGTTAAAAGTCAAGCCAAAAATAAAAGTCAGGATGTAAACAGCCATCAGAAAGTCGCTGACAGGACTGGCTCTGATGTCAACACACGTTTCGTTTTTCGATGCGTTTGTCATTGAGTCCTCCATTTTTAGCTGCAGTCCGGATAAGAAGTTCACCTGTAAGATAAAACAAACATTTTATTATCAAAGGAGTTCTTTGATATTGAGTTTGTGTATTTTTATATATGTATTTTTTTATGTGTTGTATAACATGAACCCCTATGAATCTCGAAAATTCAAGACAAATCTTAACCCAATTTGTGACCCAATTTGTTCTAGATCATGAGAAAATAAATGGGAGTATTGCTAAACAGCAAGGGATTTACAGTACAATCACAACAGGGCTGTATCACAACTCTGATACAGCCCTGCAAAAAAAGTTAGTTTTCAAAATCAGCATATCTGCATGTATTAATGCAATCTAGGATACAATAGAACATAGAATTTCATCAATACATGTCAGTATTTTATATTGGAGTATGTGGAATTTATGTTTGGCTAAATATTGATCTATTTCTTTTGCTTAATATTACTACTTACTTTATAATGTAATTTGGTGGTTTTAATTTTAAACTATTGCATTTTATCTAATAATCAAAGAAAAAGGAAAAACTGGTGGTATTTCACATGGTTATTTCTAATGTCTTCTTTTCAAACAAGGGCTGTGTCCGAACATCCCCCCAAACTCTAGATCCCTCAATCACTGTATAGAGCAGGGACTACATAGTGGACTTTGTAGTTAACTGACTGTTCAGCCAGATGATCACTAACTTTCAAGGTTCATTGTGGGAAATTTCAAGTCCACTACTTACTCATCCACCAGACATTCGGACACTCATTTAAAATGTCATAACCACTATATAGTGATTAGGGCGGGCCTTTGGACACAACCAAAGAAATTATAAAATTAGAAGGCAGATGGCGTGTTTGGAGGATTTGGTTATGTATGACTGTTTTTTTTTTTGTGTGTGAACACATTGTTGTCTCCCTATTTTGTTTTATCCATATAAATGGACAGAGACAAACAGGACAAACAACCATTCATGCGCGCACTCACACCTATTTAGTGGAGTCAATTAACCTAAAAGTTTGTTTCATTTTCTTTCAAAATGTCGGAAATAAAGTGCTTGATGTATCAATTTATTAGTCAATCATCTAAACATATTTTAAAGTGGGAGATAAAAAAAAAATTAAAATAAATTAACAAAATTGGCAAGGTATGCTACACCAACAAAGGAAAATACATTCTAAAAAAAACCTTTAGGAGCATTTTCCATTTATATGAATTGTTATCAAAACTTTGGCCTCCCCAGTGTGACACTGCTGCACGTATTGTTCCAAAAGCATTATTTATTATTATTTTTGTTACTCTACCTGTTTTATTCAGAGTGAGTCTCATATTTTGTAAATCTGATATGCAGGATTCCAGCAAACCAAATGCATTGGTGATTGGCGGTAATCTGTCATTTACATTTTATTTAAAGTGACAGCAGACTGACGAAGGGAAATTTGCTTGTTGACGCTCAATTAAAGGTTTAATATTGTGAAACTGACTTATCATGTTAACTAATTATGTTTTTGTCCCCCGATTTACTCTGTCAATGCATCATCAATACTAACGTTTGTACAAATCTATAATAATATTAAATTAATAATTTTGGTGAAAAAATTATTACTGTGACACACAGGGTTGTCGGCTATGTGAAAATTACACAAGGGGAACTTCTTGGCCATTGCCTATCTTCCACCTAATATTAGATGTCCTTAAATGAGGTTATGTGTAATAATGTGGAATGGCACAGGGGAAAAGTATTGAACACATGAAGAAGGAGAGGTTCAAAAAGGCATGGAAAGCCAGGACACCAACTGAAATCTCTCAGTAATTAGAAAGCAATCCTGCTTGTCAGTGGAAAGTATTATAAGCTGGCTCAGTCCCAAATGTTGATTTATAATAAGGTTTCTCTGGTATCATCATGAGCTGGTATAACAGCTCATGATGAGTAAAAGTAAAGATCTTTCTCAAGACCTTAGCAACCTTAATGATGGCATTGGTTTTAGAAGGATTTCTAAACTTCTAATGACCCTGACCAGGTCCTCCTCACAAGATTTCTGGCAGAGGAGTGAAAATGATTATCAGAAGAGGTTTGCAAGAGCCTAAGACCACTTGTGGAGAGCTTCAGAAAGACCTGGGATTAGCAAGAACAGTTGCTTTAAAGAAAACAATAAGTAGTACCCTCAGCGCCATTGCTTGTATGCACGCTCACCACGCAAGAATACCTTGCCGAAGAAAAAGCTTGTTGCTCGTTTAAACTTTTCTGCACAACATTTAGAAAAGCCTGTGAAATACTGGGAGAATATAGTCTGGCCAGATGAGACCAAAATTGAACTCTTTTGAACGCATAATAAAATTCATGTTTGGAGGTAAAATGGCACTGCACACCACCCCAAAAACACCATACCAACAGTGAAGTTTGGAGGTGGAAGCATGATGGTGTGGGGCACCTGGTACCGCCAAACTTCAAATAATTAAAGGAAGGATAAATGGGAAAATGAACAGAAATTCTTCATAAAAATCTGCTACCATCTACCAGGAAGATGAGAATGAAACATGGATGGACATTTCAGCAAAACAATGACCCCAAACACACATCTAAGCAAACTCAAAAGAACTAAAGATCAGAGTTAATAGAAGAGTCCCATGAAACTTCAAGAATTTAAGACTGTCACTGCCAACAAAGGCTTTTCTACAAAGTATCAAATGTATTTCAGTAGCTGTGTTCAATATCTTTTCACTATGCTATTTCAATTTATTACATGTAACTTAATTACTGGACATCTATGGTTTGATTTCTTTGTATATGTGGATTACATGGATTGTTATTGACATCTGGTGAAAATGTGGCGTCTTCTATTATTTTACCCTCTGTATAGTAAAACAAGCATCATAAATTGCAACAATAAATGTTTTAAAATTACAAAAAATCTAATACAGTAAGACAAAACCTTGTTCATAACAGCATTTTTCTGTTCATCTCTTGTTAACTGCTCATTTAACATTTTCTTTTTTTTTTTTACAGAAAATTGAAACTTACAGGAAACATATGATACTTCTCGTTTTTGTGGAATTGCTCATGTTTTTTCTTTTTTTTCCTGTCAGTTTTTATCTCCCTCCATCTGGCTTGTACTGGTGTCTTTAGAGGCTCAGAGAGCATGTAATGAAATTAACCACGCCGTAACCCAATAACGGAAAAAACATGCAGCCTGAGATCATCTTTAGTGAGTCATAATACCGGGGCTGTATTTTTACACTACTTGAGGTGGGTTTGATTTAGCGATTCTTGTAGAACATTTTCCAAGAAAAACATGCATTAGGAATTTACTTGTAAACATTAAGCAAAGTGGACAGCATGGTGAAACATTTAGGAGCAATACAGCCTGTGTTTTAATTTCTGGTCTGGGATCTATGTGCATGTTATTCCTCTGCATACATTGACTCCTCTTTCTACCATTCAAAAACATGACTGCAAACTAAACTGGTCGGATTCGGATTAAATTGTTCTTATATGTGAATGTGTGTATGTTTACTGTTTAGTTTGTGGTTTGTTTGTTTTGATGTAAGCCTCTGTCTTGCCCTGTGATGGAATGGTGAAATATCTAGTGGTTAAACCAGCCTCTTGCACAGTGATGTGCACACACTAACCTGAACATATAAAACAGGTAAAGAAATATGGTGGATGATCTCTATATAATAAATCACAAAATTATTTTCCAAACCCTAAAATGTAGTACATATGATATAATTATGTTATCTGTTGCAAGTACCGTAGTAAATGTGTGATAAGAAAATAACACCCACAAATTTACCAGTTTCAATATGATTTAAACATGGTGTTAACCATATGCCTTCATAATGGATGTTATGACTAACTTTACACTGGTATTTCTGTTGTACTGAAACTTGTGTGTTTTACGTGGGTGATGGTGGGGGTTTTTTTCTGTTTTTTTTTTTTTTTTTTTTTTTTTGGTGTGGGGGGATAATGTGTTCAGAAAAGGGTAAAAGGTTAACGGAGACTGAAACATTTAAGCCAGAGCAAGTGTTGGAAATTCTGTTGGAAATCCCTTTTTTGAGTTTCTCTGAAACAAACAGTTGTAATAACAATGATAATTAAAAGGGGGAATTCATTCCACTGAAAACTGTTGAAAGTATTAGTGAGTATGTGGTTGTAATTCTAATGTCATAAAAATGATAGGAAAAACGTGTTGCTTATCTGTTGTTCAATCTCATCTCTTGAGATCAGTTTGAGCTTCTCATTTTCATATCATTTTGTAATCTTTTGTTTCTGAGTTACTTCTAATATGGGTTCCCTTAGGAGCAAGAGATAAGCTAAAAAAGAGAAAAGACATCACAGACAAAAGGAGATTGAGCTTAGAAAGCCATTTGAGCAGTATTTCAGAAGTAAGATTAGGAAAAGAGATCTCACAATATTAAATGGCCTGTACATGGCGCTTTTTCAAGTCAGTAGATTTGATTGAAGCACTTTACACTACATTCTATCAATCGCCAAAGGACACCACGAAAGTCAGAACCGGGGCTTGAACAGACAAATCAGGTTGCAGGGCAAACTCCTGCATCTGACTCCATTGTCACCCCTTCTGATTTTAATCATATCTTGGTTGCTTTGAATAGGAATCAAAGAAAAGGAGATGAGATTAATCGGAGAAATTAAATAGTGAGCAGTGAAGACAGCATGTTTAATTCTCACTGTACTAAAGGTTGGAACAGTGGATCCAACAAAGGACATGAAATTGAGACAATTTTTGAAATGGAAAAAATATGTCTAATTTTTTATATCTTAGCTGAGATCTAAAAATGAGAGAGCTGTGAGAGAATTTAGAGAACTTGCAAAATGCTTACTGATGCTTTCTCAGGAGAGAAATTTGAGAAGAATGAGAAACCACTCATAGATGTAAATGTGACATAATGGAGGTCTCATCTTCAATTTTGCTTTGCTATGGGGAGTTTTTTTTTTTTCCATTAATGTCTTATGAATATTTTATGCGTTCATTTCTGTATTGCAAACATTAAGTTAGCTTATTCATAGGTTCTCTACGTGTAACAAAAACGCAATATTTTAAAGAAGTAAAAGTCCAGATCTCTGTTTTTCAAACAGCATTCTGTCTGAAACATTTCATTGTGTCCTGCTTAGGGAATCTCTAAGCATTAAGCGAGGAAATCAAACATTTACATGCAGCAAAGTCAAGCATAACATGAGTTGCTTCAGCATTGCTCTGTCAGGGCAATGACGTCAGCTCTATTTAAATAGGAGCACAGGAGCAAACAACCAGTAAATCAAAAAAATAAAAAAAAATCCACATACTTTTACTATTTCCCTGTTTCTGCATAGGCTTTTTATGAGTCTTCTGTTATACGTAGATATTTTACAATCATTCTGTCATTAAATATTAACCTCACCTGTGGTCCTTTTCAGAGCTGTGTGCTGTGGCCGAAGAGTAGACACATTCCACAGAAACTTCGCTTCTATCCCTGCAGGTCAGAAAATATTCCTCAGAAACAGCTCCTCCTACTTAAAGTTCAGCCACCACATTCTCACTTGTTCTCCGCAATGAATGAGAAAATTATTAGCTTGTCAAGCAATTAACAGGGAAACAAAGGTTTTTCTCTTGGTGTACTGTCTGGTACTATGATCCTATTTATGACTTCCTGTCATCAGTTGCAGCTAAAATTCAAGTAACGAGGGGGTAGTCGATGTCCGAGAGACAAAAGGGGAAGGGAAAGTACGCAGGGGAAGAAGGCAGGTTTGGGTTTGCTCATGTGCATGACAGAAAGTAGGAGGCGGAGTTAAGCCTGGATGGTAGTATAAGAGTTATGAGGCATATGTTCCTGTCAGAAAAAAGAAGTGTGTTTCTTGGAAACAGTTTGGCAGTGGGCAGATGGTGTTACAGCATGTAATTAACCATTTTACTATATGTCACTGAGTCTTTTTCACTAATGGAACAGGGTACATAGGTCAATTAGTGTGAAAGTATCTACTGTACATCTAAGGGAGTTCTCCAGAGGCTGGTACAACACTCGTGTTTATGAGAGATGGGATACGCCTTGTCTCTGCATGGTTTCCCAGTGCTCATGTTTATAAAAACAGAGACTGTGAAGGCTCAGTTTGTGAAGATTAAAGTAAACACCAGAAGCAGCTGCAACATTTTTTTTCAGTGAGCAAGGACAGCATACCTTACTTCAGTTTAGGTGAAACAGTGAAATCAGATTATTAGCTGAAAAAATGAAACACTCCAGCAATCTAAAACATAATTACCAGGTATAATGGTTAAACACGTAATTTATTTACATTTTTCTGTTATTTTTAAAAGCTCTGAACCTTGTTCTGGTTTCAGTTTCTGTTAGTGTAAAACTGTAAGTAGATGAGCTGTACTCTAGATCAGTGTGTGCAATGCCTCCAATTTACATTATGAAAAATTACAGGGCAAGGCAAGTTTATTTGTATAACAAATAAAAGTTTATTTCAAACTGCTTTATATTTATTACACAATAAAATAGAATTAAAATAAAATTAAGTAAAGATAAATACTGATACAAGTACTGTAACAAATAAAACAGTTGGACCACAACCTCAAACTACTGATACATCAGTTTACCTTCAAGAGTCAAAGGCAGCTCTAAGCAGATAGATTTTTAACTTTGACTTAAAAGACCTCAGGCTTTTAAGCACATTCACAGAGGTTTGTTCCAGATAAGTGGAGCATAGGAACTAAATGCAATTTCTCCATGTTTCTAGTTCTGGGTGTACAGAGTAGGCTGGAACTAGAAGACCTGAGTGGTCTGGGAGGTTGATACACTGACATTAAATCTGTTATGTATTGAGG